TTTGGTCTTTTTGAGACAGGGTCTCCCTGCAGCCCCAGCTGTCCTGGAACTCACTATGTAGACCAGACTGGCCTTGAACTCACAGAGATCCACCTGCCTCTGCCTCCCAAGTGCTGGGATTAAAGGTGTGCACCACCACGCCCGGCTAATTTAAAGAACTTTTTAAAAATTTCTCCAATTTTGGCCACATTCTACAGCCGTACTACGGAGACCATGGAACACAGAAAACTGGCTCATCAGAGAACAAGAACGAGGCAGGCTAGAAAGGAAAAAACTAAAAGGATGTGGGATGGGAAAAGAAGACTCTCATCCCCAGATCTAGTTTGTGTTTCCAGCTGAACATTAAGGGACATCTACACAACTGATAAAACCAAAATTGCCTACAGAGATAATGCTCATTTCCCTGCCGGGTATTGATCTTAATCTTTAAATCTAAATATTTTATTTATTTTTAGTTTATGTGTGTGTTTTGCCTGCATGTATGTGAGTATACCACCTGTATGCGTGGTGTCTGAGGAAGTCAGAAGAGGGCACCAGATCCCCTGGAACTGGAGTTAAGGACTGGTGTTAGCCACCATGTGAGTACTGGGAGCCAAACCCGGGTCTTCTGAAAAAAACAGCCAATGTTCTTAACTGCTGAGCCATCTTTCCAGCCCCTCATCCCCGAATCTAAATAATATACCTCATAAAAACATCTTACAATTTCTTAAAGGGAAATTCTTTAAGATAAATAAGTAAACCAACTCATACATTTTTTAAAGAATCCTGCAACTTTTAAAAAATATTTTATTATCAAAAAAAAAAAACCTAAAGAGTCTACTTATGGTATTTGTGTAATCTGGTCACTTAATAAAACAGCAACTGCTTGTCAAAATATGTATATTTTATTTATTATTATTATTTTTATTTTATGTGTATGCGTGTATTGCCTGCACATAGGCAAGTGCACCCGTGTTGTACAGTGCTCACAGACATCAGAAGAGACTGTTGGATGCCCTGGAACTGGAGTTATGGACAATTGTTAGCTGCCCTGTGGGTGCTGGGATTTGAACCCCGTCTT